CTGTTCTGCTTCCCTCTCTGTCTCTGGAGAATCCTCTGACCCCCTGCGCTTCTGGCCTGTAACCCAGTTCTTGTGTACTTAAATAATAAATCTTTTAAAAATAAGTCTTCAACAAAAAGAACATCCTGTGCCTATTCTATGACCCAGCAATGCCACCCCAGGGCACATGCCCAGGACCACAAAGATGACTGTGCAGCAAGGTCCTGCTGTGGCCTATCTTAGAACACAATAAATGGCCCTGGCAACAGGGGAGCCTGCCACTCACCCTCCTGCAAGGCCCTCCTGTGAGGAGCAGATGGCTGACCGCCCAGCAGCTGGGTCTTTGGGATCCAAAGCAACAAAGTCAAGTCCAGCCGCTTCAGGCCCGCATCTGGCCATCTCTGCCCTGAAGAGTGAGAGCATCCCCGAGAAGGTGCATCACCATCTGATGCACCTGGTGTTGTGACCTCATTCCTCCCTCTTTGCTCTGGGAGGTCACACCTGCTTCGCCATCTGAAGACGTTCCTGCCCACCTCACTTCTCTTTATCCCATTTTGTCATAGCAGCTAACAGAACCCCGAAGGGTCATCAACAGGTCAATGGACAGGTAACCCTGATGTTATCCTAAAACGGGAATACAACCGAACAATCAAAAGCAATAAACTTATCTATAACACGGACATCAAACACATGAGAAAACCAGACACAAATACAAGCACTATGAGATCCCATTTACACGGCCTTGTGAAACACGCAATGCTCATCCCTGGTGCAAAAAGTCTGACTGGTGGCTGCCCTGGCGGAAGGCAGCAAGAGGGAACTTGCCCACGTAACCGTACTCGGCACCTGCACCATGAAGGCGGAGACGCCAACTCCAGGACCCCCGAACTCCGCAGCCGGCACAGAGGCCCAGTGCTTACTGGAGGGGAGCCAGCCGCTGTCAAGTCAACATGGGGCGCGTCGCAGGCTAATGGCCCGCGGGTCCCAGCTCACAGCGCTGTGCAGGGCGTGTGAAAGGTGCCGCATCAACCTTCAGTCCTCACCACTAAGAAGACAATTCCTAACTGAGGCGAGGGCCAGGCGTCCTGGTGCTGGGCCTTTGCAATGTAAATGTAAAGTCCTCTAGACCTGCAATAATGCCAAGGGTCAACTATGCATCCAAAAAATGAACCGAGTTTTTTATAAAGCAAACCACACACACCAATCTGTAAAAAGTGTGCCGCCGTCCTCCTCACCCCCTTCTGCTCTACCCTACTCACCCCCCTCGCTCTACTTTTCCTCTCCTCCAGGGCACTTACGGTGTCCCAGCCGTCCTCAGGGCATCTGGCTCCCTGTCCCCTGCCAGCGCCCAATCTCCCAAAGCCCCTCTGGGCTCTGAGCCCCTAAACTGGCCACTCGGTCAGCGCCTGCTGCATGGGGTCCCGCGCTGCTGGAGGGCAGAGAGGGCTCTGAGGGAACGGACGCCTCCACGCGAGGGAAGGCTTCCTGGACGAGGGGTGCCGCGCCGAGGCGCTCAGAAGTCCCGAGCACTTAAGGAAAGTATCGGCCAAGCAAACTAGAGGTCGTGGCGGAGCGACTGCACAAGCAGGGCACCTAGCGCTCCCGCAGGTGGGAGGCAGAGTGGGTAGAGGGGTGCAGCAGGAGAGGGTGGCCACTCCCCGAGCCTGCTGCCAGGGTGCAAGCACCAGGCGCAGAGCGCTGGGCGTCACCAAGCTCCGTGCAGATGGGACCAACTCTCAGCCCGACTCACCCAAGTAGAATCGCAGGAAGGGTGAAGGCGTCATGTTCTTAAACATCATGATCTGCACCCAGGGGTTTTTGTACTGGATCTGAGGTATGTTGAAAAACACAAACTTCCTGCAAAAGGGAAGAAATTAAACCCTTAAGACTTTTTAACCTAAAATATCTGCATCTGTGCACTTTTCCAGGGTGAAAGCCCAGAACGTTCATCAGACTCCCGGAAGACCCCCGCCTCCCTAAAGACTCACCCCTGGGAATGAGTGGGTTTTCTGAGCGAAAGGTGTCAGGACTCCTGGTTTGTCATCTGAGAGAAAAGGAATCCATGCCCCTACCTCACACTCCACACTAACCTAAAACTCCCCAAAACAGAGACCAGTGCAGAGGTGGAACCATGAAACGCCCCGGACCTTCTGCTGCTGGGCAGAAGCTGCATGCTTAGCGGCGAGACACATAGGCTACACAGCAATTTAAAAAGAAAGTTGGCCCTCCGTGGTGGCGCAGCGGGTTAAAGCGCAGCACTAAGAAGCTAAAGCCACTTCTGCATGAGTTTGATCCCCGCCCTGGAGGTGACCCCCATGGCACAGCAGACCTCTCCTGACCCACCCACTGCTCCCCTCAGCAGTGTACTGCATCAGTCTGCCTGTTCTGCTCCCCACTGTCTCTGGTGAATCCTCTCACCACCCCCCAACACACACACACCACTGGCCTATACCCCAGTTCTGTAGGCATAAAAATAAATAAATCTTTTTTTAAATAAAAAAAGGCTAATTCCCTGATATAGAAATTTCCACATGTGTAGGATTTCAGCTCCATGACAGGAGGCACTGAGCACACAGGCACCCCATGGCCTATCAATGCGTGAAGGCACCATCTCTTCAACGTGAGCTAGAGCAGGATCCTTGAGGATCCTCATGCATCTCTTACATACCCAGAGATTTTTTTCCCTTTAAGTTGGATAGGTGAGGAAACACTACCTAAGTTAGGAGGTGATGTATGAACTGTTGAATCTCTCTTAGGGGTTAGTTTGGAAGGAGCCAAAACTTAAAAGCGTTAACTCTTGACTTGGTTTCGATTCTGCGTTTAGTTGAGCGCAGACAGGCGTGGCGTCTGCCGCAGCATTATCCTGACAGCCCGGAGAGAAAGCGAAGTCCCTGGCAAAGGGCTGGTTAAGCCAGCACTGCCAGTCTGGCCTCCCCACCTGCTGCTCATCTCCTCCTGGGCCTGCCCTAAATGAGCTACCAGCAGGCTTCCTTGCCTCTGGCTTCCTTTGGAGGGGGGAGGGGGCAGCGTTGGGGCAAAAGGCCAGAGCTCCTGGTGGGGTTGACCCCGGGAAGGCGGAAGGGTGGACAGATGGCAGCCATGGTCATTGAGACTAGCGCAGGGAGCAGTATTCCTGTCACAGCCCTGTCTCCCGTGCGTTTCACCAAGAGCTGCAGGCTGTCAGCGTCAACCAGGAGGCTCTGGTGCCCACGGCCAATGCCACAGAGTTCTGTTCAAATTCTAGCAACTCTTCTTCCAGACAGGCAGTGGAAGAATAAAGGAAGAACTCACAGTAGTTTATCAAATACTACAGGGAATAGGAAACTTTTCTATTTCTCTGTTTCTCGTAGCCATGTGACCTAGGAAGATTTCAGTCAGTAAATACCTGAAAATGGTTAAGGAGGAAGATGAAGAGAACAATGATAGACGTGATCATGAAGCAGAATC